GGCTGCGGGCACCGGGGCGGGGCCGCGGCTGGCAGGCCCTGGGGCACCCAGGCGGGACACACACTTGTCAGCAAAAGGGAACCCCGACGAGCACGAGCCCCAAAAGCGCGAGCGCAGGAGTCACCGCCCTCAGGCGCGGCGGAGGCGGCGCCCGTGGGCGCAGGAAGCTCCGCGGGCAGAGGCAGCTCAGAGAGCCAGGCGGCTCCTGCCCGTCGGCTGCTCGCGCGCCTGGACACCCCAGCGCTGAGGCTCCCGCGGCTGGAGCCCGGGCAGGAGGGCGCCGCGCCCCACACAGCCCTGGCCTCTGCGCTGGGCTGCCCAGCCGGGCTGCGGCACCAGGGCTGGGCGACGCGTGCCCACAAGGGAGGACACCCTGTGGGCGTGAGGGGGCTCCCGGGCGGCAGCCGCCCGGGCTAGGTCCGGCCTCCTCCCTGCCACCTGCCCGCTGGCTGAGTGGCCAGGTGAGCAGGGGCCTCTGGTGCTGGCTGGCTGCGGCCTGCCTGGGCGTACCCAGCGCCCCTCCTTGGGGCATGGGACCAAGCTGCGCCGGAAGCGGCGTCCCCAGTAGCCATGGACCCAGGGGGCGGGAGCCTGGGACAGCAGTGGCCAGCGGGTGCCACAGACAAGCCCCTGCAGCTGGGCTGGGCGGTGGCTGTGCCCGCGTGAGCGCCGCTCTCAGGAGCCCAGGCCACAGCTGCAGGCGACCAGGAGGGCCGGGCCCGCTCATTCCCGGGGGCAGCTGGGGGCCGTGTCCAGCAGGAGCCGGGCCAGGCTCAGGGCCAGCCCAGGACTGGCGCGTGCAGGCTCCTCCCTCAGACTGGCTGAGGCGGCGGTACGCAGCCCGCCCACCGCCCCAGGGGCTGCAGGACACCCCCAGGCCCGTTCCCTCGGGGCGCACCCCGTGCGGCACCAGATCCCCTCAGCAGCTGCCGGCGACGCTACCTGAGGGTCACGCCCAGCTCGCCAGGGGCGGCCAGAGCAGGGTCCACGACGGGGGAGGACACTCAAGAACCGGGCGGAGTTGGGAACAAAGCTACATCTTAAATCCACGTCAACATCTCCAACGTGGCAGCACCTAAGTGGCCCAGGAGCCGTGGCCACTCAGGTGGTGGGTGTGGGCCCTGGGCAGCATGCCGACGCCTGGGCCAGAGGCCAGCTGGCCAGGTGCGGGTCCAGGCAGGTCCACGGCCCCGGGGGCTCGAGCAGGAAGATGCAGCCGTGAGGGGAGGCGCAGGCTGAGCGGAGCGGCCCGGGTTGAATGCTGCCCCTGCAGCGCGGGGTGGGCCGGAGGGCGCTGCCC